TTCTGCTGCTGTGGCTGAGACTGCCGCTGCCGCACAGGTTCATCCGGGGAAGGGTCGCCGCCCCAAGGCTGGACGTGGCGATGGGGGTGGGGGTGCGGGTGTAGGTGGTGCTAGAGTTGGGTCACCTAGTGGTGGTGCTGACGCGGGGACCCTGACAGGTGCAGCCGAGCAGCCGTCTTAGCAGTCGCTGGTGTTGCCGCCGGACTCGCGCCAGCCGCGGCCGCCGCAGCTGCAGCCGTCGCCGCAGCCGCAGCAGTCGTAGCAGCAGCAGAGGCGGACGAGTCGTCTTCCGCCTGGGTGGCCCGGCGCTGGTGGCAGCGCTGGACGTGGTGGTGGTGCGCGTGGTGGGCTGCCGAGTGGTGGTTCGGGTGCCGCGCGCTGTCAGTACCTGCTTCAGACCGGTCCTCGCCGTGGATTCGTTTGCGGCAAGATCGGTCATACCTCCGTCCGCTGTTTCCGTCGCCTGGACGACCTGTTTCGTCAACGTTTCGGCCCGTTGCCAGAGCTCCCAGACAAGCACAGCTTGCTTAGTCGTAGGGTTCAGATTTTTGATCTGGACATGGATGAGATTGTTGCTGCTCTGCATGTGATGTATGCCGATAACTCTAGTGTGCTTCCGTCTTATTACCCCTTGTTGCCTAGTGTAGGTGTGCCTTTCTTAGACTCCCCTGCTGCGTCAGGCGTAGGATCCCCTGCTTTGTTTAGCCTTGGTGCTTCCGTCGCTACTTCGCCTCCGGCCGCCACTGCCGCGCTCTCCTTCACCCTCGACTCTGGCGCTTCTCGATGCTTCTTCCGTGACTCCACCACGTTGACACCGCTTCCTGTCCCTGCCGCCATCTCCCTGGCTGACCCCTCCTCTGGCCCTGTAGTCGCCCGCAGTTCCACCACCCTCCCCTGCCCGGTGGTTCCTTCGGGCTCTCTCACAGGCCTGCACATCCCCTCGTTCTCCAGGAACCTAGTTGGCGTCGGCTGCCTCCAGGACCTTGGCGTCACCACTACGTTCCCTGGTCACGAGCGGTACGCTGTCTGTATCGAGGCCGCCACTGGTGCCCCCCTTACCACGTTCCCCCGGGACCCGGTGTCCGGACTGTTCACACTAGACACTGTGACCCCCCCGGCTGGGACCCCCCCTCAGGTGGCTGCGTCTACCCAGGTTGCTGCTGCCTGCTCTTGTCGGTCACTCACCCACCCGACTCTCCTGTGGCACCACCGTCTAGGTCACCCTGCGCTCTCGCGTCTGCATCACATGTCACAGCACGGTCTCGTCCTAGGCCTCCCTGGGTCGTTCTCTGAGTTTGCCTCCTCCCCTGCCCCACCTTGCACGCCTTGTATCGAGGGCCGGCTTCGCCGTGCTCCTCACTCCTCCTCGTTTCCCCCTACCGCCGCACCGCTACAGACTCTGCACATGGACGTCCAGGGCCCCGCCCCCGTCCATGGGCCGCGTCGAGAGCGCTACTTCCTAGTGCTTGTCGACGACTACACGCGCTACACCACTGTGTTCCCCCTGGAGCGGAAGGCCGACATGCTTGACGTTCTTATCCCGTGGCTTAGCGCTGCGCGTGTCCGTCGCGGTCTCCCTGTCTTGCGCCTCCACTCCGACCGTGGTGGCAAGTTTGCCTCTGGTGTCCTTGGTCGTTTCTGTCGTGCGGAGGGCATCACCCAGTCGTTCACCTTGCCGGACCCCCCGGAGCAGAATGGGGTTGCTGAGCAACGCATCGGTTTGGTCATTGAGGTGGCTCGCACCTCCATGATCCATGCCGGTGCACCCCATTTTCTGTGGCCGTTCGCCATTTGCTACGCCGCTCACCAGTTTAACTTGTGGCCGCACCCCCAGCAGCCTCAGGTTTCGCCGACCCTCCTTTGGTCTGGGTCACTTGGTGACGCGTCTGCGTTCCACGTCTGGGGCTGTCTTGCTCACGTTCGTGCCTCTGGCACGGACAAGCTCACTGCCCGCACCCTTCCCTGTGTCTTCCTTGGCTTCCCCCTTGACGCGTCTGACTGGCACTTCTACCACCCGCCGTCTCACAGGTTCTTTCACTCCCGTGACGTCACCTTTGACGAGCCCGTCTCCTTCTTCTGCCGCTTCCCCCACCGAGGTCCCCCGGTTACCCCCCCTGTTCCTGGTCACCCCTTCCCCCGCCGTCGCCGCCCCTCCTCCTCCCCCTCCCCGTCCTGCCCCCTCTGGTGTGTCCCACGTCACCCCACTTACTCTGGTAGTCCTGCGGCGCAGTCCTCGCCGCCTGCCCCTTCTCCTCCCCCTCCTCCGCCGCCTCCGCAGCCGCAGTTGCCACCGCTGTCACAGCCGTCGTCACCGCCGCCGCCGTCACCGCAGCCGTCGTTGCGACCGCCGCCGCCGCAGCCGTCGCCGCAGCGGTTGGTTGCCTCTGGGGGTGCCGGAGTTGGGGTGGGTACTAGTCCTGGGACTCCTGCCGTGGCTTGTCCCGGCAGGCCTGGGGGTGGTACCGGTGCTCGAGGGGTTTTGAGCTCTGGGGGTGTTTCTTCTGGGGGTGCTGGTGTGGAGTGTTCTGGAGGTAGCCGCCCGACAGCTTGTGGTCCCGGTGTCGGCGTCACACCGCCGTCACAGCAGTCCCCCCCGGTGTCCGCTCTTTGCCTGCTCGGCCTTCCGTCCGCTGACCCCGTGCCCGTGCCTCCTCCTCCTCCTGTCTCCGGCCCTGTGTTCCCTCCTCTGGACACGTCTCCGACCCGTTTCCCCCCTCGTTCCCCTCCAGTGTCCCCTCCGACCCGACTCCCCCATCTCACGTCTGGTCTCGCCGTCCCTCTCGTGCTCGACCTGTCTCTCCTGTCTCACGCTCTCACCCTATGTTGCTTCGTTCCCACGCGTCCCGTCCTCCCCTTCTCGCGTCGCCCCCTCCGTCCTCCCTTGTCGTTGCTCCCCCCCCTCTGTCTGACTACCTGCATGCCGCTCGTCCTCTTGTTCCTCGGGTCCTTGCCTCTCTCATTACCGACCCCTCTGTTCCGGTTTCGAGCCTTGACGCCCTTGTCGCTGCGGTCGCTAACTTCGCCTCTACCCGCCGCCTTGACTACCCCACCGCCCTGGTCTCTGACCCTGCTTGTCCTCCGTCTGTCGGGGGTGCTCCTGCCCTTGGCAGTGACGTCCTGGAGGACCGCTAGTACAAGCTTGCTTTCCTGTCCGAGGCTGCTCCCCATCTCTGTTCCATGCTTCTAGTCTCTGAGGGTGACCCAGACGCTTTCGACATCCCGACCCCTCGCACTTACGCTGAGGCGGTCTCGGGACCCTGGGCCTCTCAGTGGATAGCTGCCATGGAGCAGGAGATGGCATCTTGGAGATCCACCGGCACCTACGTCGACGCAGTTCCCCCACCTGGGGTGAACGTAGTTGATGGCCGCTGGCTCTTCAAGGTGAAGCACCCCCCTGGAGAGCAGCCTGTGTTCAAGGCGCGCTACGTGGCTAGAGGTTTCAGTCAGCTTGAGGGGGTGGACTTCTTCCAGACCTTCGCTCCGACCCCGAAGATGACTACACTTCGGGTGCTACTACACGTAGCAGTGCAGCGTGACTACAAGCTTCACTCCCTCGACTTCTCCACTGCGTTTCTTCAAGGCAGTCTACACGAGCAGGTCTACCTGCGTCACCCTCAGGCTTCACTGGTACCTTCCCTCCTTGGACCCAGTGGCTCCTCCAGCGCCCCGTCTACGGCCTGCGCCAGGCTCCCCGTGAGTGGCACGACACGCTGCGTGCTACGCTTGCTGACCTGCAGTTCTTCCGTCCTCTGCAGACCCCTCGCTCTTCGTTCAAGCTGGCCAGACTGCGCTCTACATCCTTGTTTACGTAGACGACATGCTCTTTGCCACGGCAGACAGGGACGCACTGGCCTCCGTGAAGGCAGAGCTGCTGAAGAGACACACCTGCACTGACCTTGGAGAACTGCGCCACTACCTTGGCTTGCAGATCTCCAGGGACAGAGCAGCCCGCACCATCACTTTGACTCAGTCACACTTGGTGCGCCAGGTCCTTCAGAGGTTCGGCCTTCAGTTCTCCTCCGCACAGCCTACTCCTCTGCCTGTAGACCACGGGCTCTCCGCTCCAGTTCCTGAGGAGTCAGCAGAGCCCAGTGGTCCTTACGCAGAGCTGGTGGGTTGCCTCATGTACCTGATGACTTGCAGTCGCCCAGATCTCGCATACCCTCTCAGCATCCTGGCTCGCTTTGTGGCTACAGGCAGACACCGACCTCAGCACTGGTCTGCCGCTAAGAGGGTTTTGCGTTATCTTGCAAGTACATCGGGCATGGGGTTAGTGCTTGGAGGACGTAGGCCAGTGGTCCTTACTGGACACACAGACGCTTCTTGGGCAGACGACGCCGAGAACCTTAGGTCCTCACAGGGCTACTGCTTCAGCCTTGGTTCAGGTGCCGTCTCGTGGAGAGCTACCCGCTCCTCGTCTGTTGCCCAGTCCAGCTGTGAGGCTGAGATCTACGCCGGTGCCATGGCGGCACAGGAGCTCCGCTGGCTGACCTTCTTGCTCACTGACTTAGGTGAGCGGCCTAGCTCTGCCTCGGTCCAGTACGCTAACAACAGGGCCATGATCCCCCTGTGTCAGGAGCCTCGACTCGAGGGCAGAGCGAAGCACATTCAGCTGCGGTACTTCCTCCTGCGTGAGCTGCAGTAGCGTCGCCAGGCGCGCGTAGTACACTTGGCCTCTGGTGCCAACACAACTGATATCTTTACGAAGGCGCTTGCGGCTAAAGATCATCAGCGGCATTGTGTACAGCTGGGTCTCGTTCCTGTAGCCTCTCACTTGCTAGGGCCTTGACTTTGTACTGTCCTTTATATATATTTTTTACCCAGACTGGCCTTGTGTCCTCTCCCAGTGGCTGGACTAGTAGTGCCGCCCTTGGCTTGCTCTTGCCTTGTCTGAACTCCTTTTGACTGGTCCTTAGACCCTTGTCGCAGAGGCTGGACTAGTAGTGCCGCCCTAAGCTGCTTCTTCCCTTGTTAGGCACTGCCCCTATATAGTCTAGGGGGTGTGTCAAATGTAGCGTAGGTTGTTACTGTAGACTATACTGGATTGTGCCTTAGAGGGTAGAACACCCTAGTCTATTTATCCTTGTACACACACATTCTAGTTCAATCATTTTCTTTCTGATAAACCCGACCCTGAAAAACGGGGGCTCCTGCTGGGGGCACCCTGAGCCAACAGCCCCTCAAAATCCAATCTGAAGCCCTGTGCATTACACATCACAATGCCAGCTGCTTTCGCCTCGTCTCACTTCCTTCACTCTCACAACCCCAACCCCTCCCCTTCCCCCTGCAATCCCCCCGTCCCCAACCCTCCCAGCTTCCCCTGCGCATTCGCCCTTCCGTCTCATCCTTCCCCTCCCCCCTTTGCCACCCCTTGCTCTCACACCGCCCTAGTCAGCACCACTTGTTGCACCGACGGTTAAGCCCCCACAGGAGCAGGAGTCGTCTAAAAGCGTGCCTCAGCAGGAGAATCTCGCACCGCTCTCATGAGGCCCACCTCCTCCACCAGGTGGCTCAGCCCCAGCGGGCGCAGCACCTCCTCCGTGGCATCGTTGGCCTTCACCCCCACCTCCCTCATTTCCACCAGCACCGCCCTCACCTCACTCACAAACTCCTCCCCATATACTTCACTCAACGCCTGCCCCTCCACTCCCTCAATCCCCTCCTCACTCTCTCCCCCACTCCCGCCCTCCACTCCCCCTGCCCCTGCCCCAGTCCCTGGCCCCTTCTTCCTCCAGGCATTGGCAATGGTGGCAATGATGGAGTTGAACAGGTTGGCATCGGTGCGGTACATGGTGCGCGCCAGCCCCACCAGCTCCCGCACCTTCCCCACATCCCCGCCCTCCACAAACCCCTGCAGCACCTCCGCAAACGCGCGGAATGGCAGCTTCATGCGTGCCTTGTGCACGCCGGCCGCCGCCGCGTCACGTAACGTGGTAACCGCATCGTCGATTTGGTGGGCGGCGAGGTGGGCGCGCAGGAGGTGCAGGAAGGTGATGCCGTCGGGGCGCATGCCGGTGGCCTCCATCTCCGCCCTGGTGGCCTTGGCCTTGTCAATGAGCCCGTTGTGCGCGTAGGCGAAGACGAGCGAGTTGAAGGTCTCTGTCACCGGGGCTTGCTGCACTCTCAGGTCTTGGAAAGCCTGCAAGAGGGGCGGGACACAGCGGTGGGTGGGGTGGGGGGGGCGGGTGGCGTGCGGAAAGAGGTGGTTGTGAGTGCAAACGAAGATGAGCAAGTAGAGTCGAAGCTCCCTGTGAGGGGCTGCTGCACTCTCAAGTCTTGGAATACCTGCAAGAGGGGTGAGAGGGTTGGCGTGGAGGGACCAGTACACAGGTGAAGTATGAGCACGCCCACACACAAACGCATGTGCACTCTTGCACATGTTCACTGTCTCACACACATACAGACAGAACAACCAAGGCTGCACGCAAGTGCACAGATGCACACACGCACACACGCACACGCCCACACACCACACAAAAGTCAATCACTCACACAAAACACGCAGACACGCAACTACCCCTCAAGTAAGCCCTAATCCCCCCCTTCCTCCACACGCCCCCCCCCCACCCCCCTCCCCCCCTCCTTTCCTCCCCCCCTCACCTTCTCTGCCATGGCCACGTCACCAGCCATCCCATAGCCCTCAATACGTGCCTTGTGCAGCACCCTGCGCCGGGTGGAAAGGGAAAGGAGAGGACGGGCGAACGGAGAAAAGGGCATCAACGAAATTGAGAGCCGGGGAAAGAGAATATGCAGGGATGGCGAGGACGAGAGCCACAGGCCTCCGTGCGGCTGGACGCATCTTGCATCAAAACATGGGAGGGGAAAGGGGAAGCTGAGACGCAGGGCTGATGGGGAATGCCGTCTTGGCAGGGCTGAGAGTGCAGGGCTGCCCAAGGTGCCCGCTGTGTGCAGCACCCCGCAGCACGGAAAGGCCCGGGGCGTTGAAAAGGGGTGGTGGGGGGGAAGGGGGTGTGAAAATGATAGGGGGAGAAGGAATGGGGAAACCACAGGTAAATGGCCGATCGCCCTTTATGGGCACCTCGTGCAGTAGCTGCGTGGAGGCAAGAGAGGTGCGGCAGAAGAAAGGGGATAGCATAGATGGCAGGGGAGAAGAGGGTGCCTGAACGACAGGTTGAAAGAAGTCGTCGAAAAGGGGACGGAAGGCATTAGCCCTACTATGCACCCATTGCATTGCAGGAATGCAGGGATGCAGAGATGGAGGGATGGAGGGAAGGAGGGATGGAGGGATGGAGGAATGGAGGGAGGGAGCATGACAATGAAGTGGGAAGGGGTTGCAGAAATTAAGGGAAAAAGGGATGGGAGAGTGACACGGGGGAAGGGCGTGAAAGGGAGGGGAGCTATGGCTATTCTCGCAACCATACCGTCATTATCACACACATACCTCCCCACCCACAATCACACCCCGTCCTTGTAACTATCAAACCCATACCTCGTTAATGGCACAGTGGACCCAATCAGCTCATTCCACGTGGCCTCCAGCTTGTCAACCTGCCCGCTCTGCCCGTAAGCCCTCAGCATGGCGGCATAGGTGCCTCTATCGGGGCCGGCTCCCGACGTCTTTAATCTCCTCTCCCACTCCAGAGCCTTCTCGGGCTCTCCATGGCTGACGTAGGCCGATATGAGGGCATTGATTGTCGCCAGGTCTGGGGTCAGGTTAAAGTTTTCCATCTGCCCGAGGTACTCCTCCATTTCTTTTAGCTGCCCGGCCCTGCCAAATCCAGCAAGGATGATGTTGAATGTGATTGTAGTGGGGGCGAAGCCCTGCAGGCGCACCAGAAAGAAGGAAGGCAGGAGGAAAGAAAAAAGGCATGGGAAGGAAGAAGGCACTTCAAGGCGCTTCAAGGCAGAGATGGTATCTTGTCTATCATGCGGAGGTGGCATGCATTGGACCTGAGAAAATCTGAGAAACAGTACACAGGGCATGGCATGGCATGGCTTGGCTTCATCTGACCAGCATGCACAGTGCATGCATGCGAGTGCATGCATACTCTCAAGGGAGGGACTCATTGACGAAACAAACCAGCTCGCTCTTTGCGTCCGTCTGCCTCTCTGCCCCCTGGTTCCCTCACTTCCTGCCCAGTGCCCACCCCCCTCATTCCCTCCCCCCCCCACCTTGCTCCGCATCTCCTCCACCATCACCTCAACCCCGCCCACACACTCTCTGTTGCCATGGCTGAGTGGCCCACCACTCTCTTTTGCCATGGCTGAGTGGCCCACCACTCTCTTTTGCCATGGCTGAGTGGCCCACCACTCTCTTTTGCCATGGCTGAGTGGCCCACCACTCTCTTTTGCCATGGCTGAGTGGCCCACCACTCTCTTTTGCCATGGCTGAGTGGCCCACCACTCTCTTTTGCCATGGCTGAGTGGCCCACCACTCTCTTTTGCCATGGCTGAGTGGCCCACCACTCTCTGTTGCCATGGCTGAGTGGCCCACCACTCTCTGTTGCCATGGCTGAGTGGCCCACCACTCTCTTTTGCCATGGCTGAGTGGCCCACCACTCTCTTTTGCCATGGCTGAGTGGCCCACCACTCTCTTTTGCCATGGCTGAGTGGCCCACCACTCTCTTTTGCCATGGCTGAGTGGCCCACCACTCTCTTTTGCCATGGCTGAGTGGCCCACCTCTTTGCCATGGCTGAGTGGCCCACCACTCTCTTTCGCCATGGCTGAGTGGCCCACCACTCTCTTTCGCCATGGCTGAGTGGCCCACCACTCTCTTTCGCCATGGCTGAGTGGCCCACCACTCTCTTTTGCCATGGCTGAGTGGCCCACCACTCTCTTTTGCCATGGCTGAGTGGCCCACCACTCTCTTTCGCCATGGCTGAGTGGCCCACCACTCTCTTTTGCCATGGCTGAGTGGCCCACCACTCTCTTTTGCCATGGCTGAGTGGCCCACCACTCTCTTTTGCCATGGCTGAGTGGCCCACCACTCTCTTTTGCCATGGCTGAGTGGCCCACCACTCTCTTTTGCCATGGCTGAGTGGCCCACCACTCTCTTTTGCCATGGCTGAGTGGCCCACCACTCTCTTTTGCCATGGCTGAGTGGCCCACCACTCTCTTTTGCCATGGCTGAGTGGCCCACCACTCTCTTTTGCCATGGCTGAGTGGCCCACCACTCTCTTTTGCCATGGCTGAGTGGCCCACCACTCTCTGTTGCCATGGCTGAGTGGCCCACCACTCTCTGTTGCCATGGCTGAGTGGCCCACCACTCTCTTTTGCCATGGCTGAGTGGCCCACCACTCTCTTTTGCCATGGCTGAGTGGCCCACCACTCTCTTTTGCCATGGCTGAGTGGCCCACCACTCTCTTTTGCCATGGCTGAGTGGCCCACCACTCTCTTTCGCCATGGCTGAGTGGCCCACCACTCTCTTTCGCCATGGCTGAGTGGCCCACCACTCTCTTTTGCCATGGCTGAGTGGCCCACCACTCTCTTTTGCCATGGCTGAGTGGCCCACCACTCTCTTTTGCCATGGCTGAGTGGCCCACCACTCTCTTTTGCCATGGCTGAGTGGCCCACCACTCTCTTTTGCCATGGCTGAGTGGCCCACCACTCTCTTTTGCCATGGCTGAGTGGCCCACCACTCTCTTTTGCCATGGCTGAGTGACCCACCACTCTCTTTTGCCATGGCTGAGTGGCCCACCACTCTCTTTTGCCATGGCTGAGTGGCCCACCACTCTCTTTTGCCATGGCTGAGTGGCCCACCACTCTCTTTTGCCATGGCTGAGTGGCCCACCACTCTCTTTTGCCATGGCTGAGTGGCCCACCACTCTCTTTTGCCATGGCTGAGTGGCCCACCACTCTCTTTTGCCATGGCTGAGTGGCCCACCACTCTCTTTCGCCATGGCTGAGTGGCCCACCACTCTCTTTCGCCATGGCTGAGTGGCCCACCACTCTCTTTCGCCATGGCTGAGTGGCCCACCACTCTCTTTTGCCATGGCTGAGTGGCCCACCACTCTCTTTTGCCATGGCTGAGTGGCCCACCACTCTCTTTCGCCATGGCTGAGTGGCCCACCACTCTCTTTCGCCATGGCTGAGTGGCCCACCACTCTCTTTCGCCATGGCTGAGTGGCCCACCACTCTCTTTTGCCATGGCTGAGTGGCCCACCACTCTCTTTTGCCATGGCTGAGTGGCCCACCACTCTCTTTTGCCATGGCTGAGTGGCCCACCACTCTCTGTTGCCATGGCTGAGTGGCCCACCACTCTCTGTTGCCATGGCTGAGTGGCCCACCACTCTCTTTTGCCATGGCTGAGTGGCCCACCACTCTCTTTTGCCATGGCTGAGTGGCCCACCACTCTCTTTTGCCATGGCTGAGTGACCCAACACTCTCTTTTGCCATGGCTGAGTGGCCCACCACTCTCTTTTGCCATGGCTGAGTGGCCCACCACTCTCTTTTGCCATGGCTGAGTGGCCCACCACTCTCTTTTGCCATGGCTGAGTGGCCCACCACTCTCTTTTGCCATGGCTGAGTGGCCCACCACTCTCTTTTGCCATGGCTGAGTGGCCCACCACTCTCTTTTGCCATGGCTGAGTGGCCCACCACTCTCTTTCGCCATGGCTGAGTGGCCCACCACTCTCTTTCGCCATGGCTGAGTGGCCCACCACTCTCTTTCGCCATGGCTGAGTGGCCCACCACTCTCTTTCGCCATGGCTGAGTGGCCCACCACTCTCTTTTGCCATGGCTGAGTGGCCCACCACTCTCTGTTGCCATGGCTGAGTGGCCCACCACTCTCTTTTGCCATGGCTGAGTGGCCCACCACTCTCTTTTGCCATGGCTGAGTGGCCCACCACTCTCTTTTGCCATGGCTGAGTGGCCCACCACTCTCTTTCGCCATGGCTGAGAGGCCCACCACTCTCTTTTGCCATGGCTGAGTGGCCCACCACTCTCTTTTGCCATGGCTGAGTGGCCCACCACTCTCTTTTGCCATGGCTGAGTGGCCCACCACTCTCTTTTGCCATGGCTGAGTGGCCCACCACTCTCTTTTGCCATGGCTGAGTGGCCCACCACTCTCTTTTGCCATGGCTGAGTGGCCCACCACTCTCTTTCGCCATGGCTGAGTGGCCCACCACTCTCTTTTGCCATGGCTGAGTGGCCCACCACTCTCTTTTGCCATGGCTGAGTGACCCACCACTCTCTTTTGCCATGGCTGAGTGGCCCACCACTCTCTTTTGCCATGGCTGAGTGGCCCACCACTCTCTTTTGCCATGGCTGAGTGGCCCACCACTCTCTGTTGCCATGGCTGAGTGGCCCACCACTCTCTTTTGCCATGGCTGAGTGGCCCACCACTCTCTTTTGCCATGGCTGAGTGGCCCACCACTCTCTTTTGCCATGGCTGAGTGGCCCACCACTCTCTTTTGCCATGGCTGAGGGGCCCACCACTCTCTTTTGCCATGGCTGAGTGGCCCACCACTCTCTTTTGCCATGGCTGAGTGGCCCACCACTCTCTTTTGCCATGGCTGAGTGGCCCACCACTCTCTTTCGCCATGGCTGAGTGGCCCACCACTCTCTTTCGCCATGGCTGAGTGGCCCACCACTCTCTTTTGCCATGGCTGAGTGGCCCACCACTCTCTTTTGCCATGGCTGAGTGGCCCACCACTCTCTTTCGCCATGGCTGAGTGGCCCACCACTCTCTTTTCGCCATGGCTGAGTGGCCCACCACTCTCTTTTGCCATGGCTGAGTGGCCCACCACTCTCTTTTGCCATGGCTGAGTGGCCCACCACTCTCTTTTGCCATGGCTGAGTGGCCCACCACTCTCTTTTGCCATGGCTGAGTGGCCCACCACTCTCTTTTGCCATGGCTGAGTGGCCCACCACTCTCTGTTGCCATGGGCTGAGTGGCCCACCACTCTCTGTTTGCCATGGCTGAGTGGCCCACCACTCTCTTTTGCCATGGCTGAGTGGCCCACCACTCTCTTTTGCCATGGCTGAGTGGCCCACCACTCTCTTTTGCCATGGCTGAGTGGCCCACCACTCTCTTTTGACATGGCTGAGTGGCCCACCACTCTCTTTCGCCATGGCTGAGTGGCCCACCACTCTCTTTCGCCATGGCTGAGTGGCCCACCACTCTCTTTCGCCATGGCTGAGTGGCCCACCACTCTCTTTTCGCCATGGCTGAGTGGCCCACCACTCTCTTTTCGCCATGGCTGAGTGGCCCACCACTCTCTTTTGCCATGGTGAGTGGCCCACCACTCTCTTTGCCATGGCTGAGTGGCCCACCACTCTCTTTCGCCATGGCTGAGTGGCCCACCACTCTCTTTTGCCATGGCTGAGTGGCCCACCACTCTCTTTCGCCATGGCTGAGTGGCCCACCACTCTCTTTCCCATGGCAATCTCTGAGCTGGCCCACCACTCTCTTTGCCATGGCTGAGTGGCCCACCACTCTCTTTTGCCATGGCTGAGTGGCCCACCACTCTCTTTTGCCATGGCTGAGTGGCCCACCACTCTCTTTTGCCATGGCTGAGTGGCCCACCACTCTCTTTTGCCATGGCTGAGTGGCCCACCACTCTCTTTGCCATGGCTGAGTGGCCCACCACTCTCTTTTGCCATGCTGAGTGGCCCACCACTCTCTTTTGCCATGGCTGAGTGGCCCACCACTCTCTTTTGCCATGGCTGAGTGGCCCACCACCTCTTTGCCATGGCTGAGTGGCCCACCACTCTCTTTCGCCATGGCTGAGTGGCCCACCACTCTCTTTTGCCATGGCTGAGTGGGCCCACCACTCTCTTTTGCCATGGCTGAGTGGCCCACCACTCTCTTTTGCCATGG